CTCAAGGTTTATAGAGGTCATTATATTCAGATCTCATAACAAGGACTATGCTACTGGACAACCCAGTCTTTATTTACATGTCCAAATTTTTAATCTTTATCAATTCATAATATAATGCAACATATTCAACGTAAATATCCTCATATTATTCGAGTCCATATAATCCAAAGTCAAAGACTGACGTTACCGCATGTTAAGTGAACTCCTACTGACTGCCTCCAAGACTATATTTACGGTGACTAATCGCTTGACAGTGGTCACTCGCATGTCTTGTCTAGTTCTTGACGATAATGATAATGATGTGATGCGTTCTTATGTCACTCATTCTTTAAAAAGCATACTGTGTGTTGAGTAGGACTTAACACTTCATGAGTTATTTTTGTTTCTGACAATAAAAAGTGTCTATAAATAGTAAGGAAGAAAAATGTGGTGTAAAATTTGGATTGTGCCCAGAGGTGGAATCCAGGATATGTGGTTCGTTCTATTAGGGACTGGTAAGCTTCATGTCTTGGATTGCAGTGCCTATCACTTCAAACGTCAACTTACCATTCACTAAGCTACTGATTACGAAAAGCCAATGACTAGTTTGACGCGTGTGATGGTATTAGTAAGTATTTGTAATTTCTCGTTGTTATCACTCAGAATTTCAACTGATCAGTCTCTATTGGTATATGTGCACCGTTAGCCGATTGCCTAGATATTGAATACGAGAAATGTGAGTGCCAAATTCCACTGTCAGTTACAATCCATTTTAACTCAAACTTGTGACTAAATTGAAACATTGAGGTAATCTATTTAGAATGCACGTATCCCAATACAGTTCGGTCAATTATATCAACACTCACTTATAATAATATAATTTGGTCAACAGGCTATAAGAAATCGCATAATCATAAAATGTTTACACTGTTTAGCATTTTAATCTAGTTGGTGAATCCAGTGTTGGACAATTCCATGTTGTATATTCCATTTCCCTAAAAATCGGATTAGCATATCAAAGGAGTTGATTTTCTTAGTTACATCACAGTATGTATACAAAGATCTTGTTAACTAAGCAAAGTTAATCATTTCACCACGGTCAATGAATGACCAGACAAAGCATAACCGCAATAAACATATTCACTGAGAAAAATATAGAATATCATCCTCAGAAAATCACAAGCCACATTCCATTTCGATTGATCGACATAACATTGAACAAACTATATGAATAACACCTACATAAAACATGTTTGTGAATTATGGAGCCCTGTGAATCAACAGTTAACAATGGGGAATGATCATTGTCTAGGCTAGGTAACCAGTATGAACCTCATACTTTCAGCAAATAATTACTTAGATGTGTAAATGATTTCTAATAAGCCATTAGTAGTTGATCAAAGAAAAACGCTACATGTGTATCATTTTTCCATCCCCAACAATCTTAACTTGTTATTGCTTAAAATTAAATTTGATTATTTTGTACTTTGCAACTCATGCTACTTACAAGTAATGTCAAACAGGTTTCAAAATTGACACGTCAGGATTTTTTTTATATGAATTGAAAATATTAGTCGTATGTAGACAGTGTTTATTTCCTCAAAGTGTGAGTAGGAATACGTTGTTTGAAGGAAATTATTAAACTAATAAAAGAATGGTTCATTTTAACCACTTAATGGACAAAATGCCACTAATTCTCTTCATGTCCAACTAACCAACAATTAGGAAGGAACCAAATAAGATCTAATTCTGAATGAATATGTTACTTAGTTTGCTGGTAATGAATGAAATCAGAAACTTTGCATGTTAGTTTTTGTACTTTTTGGTGTAACACTGTAAATTATTTATTATATATGCGAATTTCATGGAATAATACATTGAAGGTACTGAAGTGGTTTGTTTCATTGCACGGACATGGATAGAATCATTTTCTTGACCATTTCAATCAATGGTGGAAAAGGTGGCCGTATGTACTTCTTACTTGATCTTTATGAATGATTTTAAAGTAACGAAAAAGAAAAGGATTTAGAATTGTTATTCCAAATACTTTATTTTTCTCTCTTTATCCAGAAAATAAATTTGGTTAGATACTGATGTGCTGACATATTATGGATATGAAGATTATTTCCACTCGTAGGTCAGGTAAATTATCTCATCATTGCTTTGTTCACATATTCAGTGGAATCAAATCATAAAAATATTCCTTCTCTTTCATACTACTTTCTATTATAAAGTAGTGCAAATGCTGAGCATTTAAATATAGTGATTTGATTTCGTATCCCCATGTTTACATTTATAACTCTCCTTCACATTTACTCTTACCATTAGAGCGACGTCGATAAGTTTTTTTAGAATTAATCTGGCTAGTTCAAAAATTTGTGTCTAATGAAGATTTTCAAAGAAACAAGAACGTCAGAATTTCTTGAATCAAATGAATTTATTTTATTTCCTTGATTTTCATCAGGTATGAACAGCCTAAATTTACTTTTGGAAATATAATTAGGAACATAGGTTTAAAATCCTCCAGCTGAGATGAACTATCGAAACTAGACTGAAAATAACTCGTCGCATCTGAAACGATTAATTATTGGATTAGCTTCTTAAAAGCAAAATTGAAAAACCTGTTCATTGTATGTTCATTATTTCAAAGGCCTTTACAAAACGCATTATCAATTAAGTATCGAGTAATTAAGCTTGTGAAGTTTCCCCTCCATTTGCGCATAGGTTCCGAATATATATGTATATAAATTAGTGTAAAACTATGATGGAAAACCAGTTGATAAATATTACTTCACTCTACTTGTCTTCTATTCAATGAGGAATCTTCCTTTACCGAAATATCCTAATATCTCCGGTTTTTAAAACGGAGTACAAAGACTGTATTAAGTGACTGTAATGTTTGTTCATGATACAAACACATGTGTAACTGCTTCGATAGATTCCGTCAGTTTGAGAGTCTTTTGCTTTAAGAATATTTCTTGATAATAGATAATACGACAAACGCCAACAGTAAATACATAGGCTACTGTCAAATATATAAAAGTATTTAACGACTTATTGGTTCTTGTGGATAATCAAAGGAAACTGGGACAGTCGTTCTAAATGAATTAGTACCAATACTAATTTCAGCTTGTGGCAAACAAGTAAGGGAAAGCTCATAATAGTTCGACAGCATAACAACACAGAAAGAGCGCTATCGTCAGTAATGTGATGTGCTCTCTTATTTTATTTATTTAACACATATATATTGGTACAAGGAGGCACCAAATACATATGCGCCACACAAATCTCATTTCATATGTGTGAGGGATGGGATACTGCCCGGGTGCCCAAACCGAAGCAGGTGGTTTCCTTAGGGGGCCACACCCGGGACCTCCGACCCAAAGGTCTGATCCACAAGGCAGTGGAGCAACGTAAGGAGATGCAGTCCCATGGAAGCCGGTGACCAACAATTGCATCATATGCCATTTGTTCCTTTAGGATATTGGAGCCCATATGCACCATTGGTTTGTAATCAGGGTTTTTCAACTCCCCTAGGTGAACTCTCCATGTCCACCAACCCTGTTAAAGCGCCGGACATTCGATTTTCGTCTTCTTACTTTCTCAAACACCCTCATCACGAGAAGGCAGTGAGTAGGACTTCCCTGGCAGAGGCTATATACGCGTGGCCATGTGAGAGCACTTCAAGAGGGAGAGCGGACTCTCCCCACTCTCGGCCGTATCAGGGCTTTTGGGGGCTGTCTACATTATAATTTTCGAATGTGTTACTTAGTAACTGTTGAAGTGTATACCTTACAATAATCTTTTTACTTCAAGACTATTCTTCATTCAAAAGTAACGCTAACTAGGTATATTTTCTCTTCTTTGGTAGATATAATTATCGTTATTCAACCTTTATTTGCCCATATGGCTTCGTGAATTATACGGAGCTATTGGATACGAATTTAATAACTAAAACTCCGGTTTCATCTGCTAATGCATGAGGAATACGCGTTTACGCAGTCGTATTGCCTCCATTAGTTTATTTAGTTATGAAGTCAATCCTATTTGAAGAACTACTGACTCTAGGGTTTCTATATATTCTTAGCTGTTTGAGCTTTAAAGTAGTTAAAAGTTTGAAAATCCCAAAGTTACCTAATTTGTCAATGTTGTTTGACGTTGAAATTCATTCTGGAAACAAACTGATATGGCCGACGTAATTATTTGAAAATGCTTGGTGGAAAATTTTTCAAGAAAAATTAACAGGTGAACGAATAATTTTTTCTTAGCAAATATAAGATTGATACATAGATCTGTGAATAACAGTCTCAGTGTCACTGATTCAACAAAATAGACAACACATTTATTTCAATATAACACGTTTATTTTATTAAAATTGAAGTAGAAATATGTAATATTTATAATAATAACAGTAGTAATAATCAGTAATACAAAATTGTATAGGTTAATTTATTTAAAAATATGGTATTCATAAAAGCGATAATACAATTTTGCTTTAAAAAAGTGCTTGATCCCCCTCCAACTAGTAAGTATTATCAGTATAACAAAAAAGTACATTGAAAAAGATTTACGTATTAAAAGGACAACTGGGAATAATAATAATAATAATAATAATAATAATAATAATAATAATAATAATAATAATAATAATAATAATAGATAATTATTATCTAAAGAAGAAAAGAGTCGTTAGTTTTATACAAAATATGTTGGCAAATATTTCGAGTCTATGAAAAATGTGATCATTTACATATGTTGCTTAGGAAATGGAATAAATAAGAAGACATGTACACACACACATAACACACAAGAACATAGACAAATACATGGTGAAATAGATACACAATAGAAATTCAAAAGGAGTACTAGATTATTTGCCAACATAGTAGTTTTACTAATAGTGATAGTTTTAAAAATAATAATGATAATAATAAAAATGGTAATAATAATAATAATATAGTAATAAAAGTAACTGTACATAAATTTATAATCTTGTGAAATGAAAGTTGGTTTTTTGTTGCCTAGTGTAAATACTGTCGCGGTTCCAAGTAATCTTCGTGCTCCAACATTAATTCAACGTATCCCTACGTATGAAATGGTAAAAAAAAGTGAACAAATAAGCCGATAATCTCAATTTTTAAATGAATCAATGAATGTATATACAGTAAAATGTACGCACAGTTCGTCTTCACACGACACACCTGATTCTGAACATTACCGCTTATTATAACCCCAAAGCAACATTTTCATTATAAAGCCAAAAGATATGCAAAAGTCAACTTACCTTCATTGAATCATTGTTTTCCTTCGGGTCATCATAACTGGATTTCATTTCAGCGATTCGGTTACAAATGTCATAAAATCTTGGTCGACTATCGGGATCTTGTGACCAGCACTCTAGCATCAACTGGTAGATTGAGTTGGTGGATAGGTATGGTCTAGTATTACGATTTCCATTATTTAACCAGTTGATTAGTTGTCCATTATCTAATCCAGGGTATGGTGAATTACCCAAACTGAATAATTCCCACAACAGAATCCCATAAGACCAAACATCACATTTTGAAGTATAACATTTCGTTGTCATCAAACACTCTGGTGCCATCCATCTTACTGCTAAGTAATCCTTTTATTTCAAGTATTGGAATAGAATTTGAAAATGTTATCAGTTACAATCATATTTGAAGTAACATAATAAAATATATTTCGAACATAAAAATGATAGTTTAACAAATCGCCAAATAAGCAAATACTATTTATTAAGTAAATTAAAGAATAGATATATTGAAACTTGGATCAGTTATTAGTTGTGATAAATAAAGGATATAATAGGGTAATGTACAAAGTACTATGCTTTAGACAGATTCGGTCAATGATCTTTCTCACTGATAAAAGAGAAATTATACATCAGTTTTGATAAATTCCATTAATTAAAATCAAAGCTAATAAATTCAAATACTAGATATCCACTGAATCGGGTCTAATAATTTGCTGGACCATAAGTGATGACTAATAAATACTCCATGAGCAGTAGACATAAGATAAATTTCAATCACAATAAACTAGTTAACAATCAGAAAAAAAAAGTAGGTAAGTAATGAATAGGCGGTAAGAATCTTGAAGGGAATCCCTGATTATTCTATGGTAGAAAAATTTCAATTATCTAAATAGCATTTTAATTAAATGAAGAAAGGTAGGTAGACCGTTGATCAAAATGAATTAAAACTCACTGATGATATTATTAGTTCGGAACATGTTACAGAGATTACCTTTAGGAATTCCTCTAAACCGAATATATGATCTACAATTTATTTTTTCTTTAAAAATTTAGTGGTAGGTTAAGTTGGGAATCTCATGTGTAAAAAATTGTAAAAAGAAATTGTTGCACAATATACTTTACCTACTCAGCAGTAGTTCAACAAAAATGTCAAAATTAACCATTGTAAACAGTAAAATCTAAGATGTTTTCAAAGACTATTCAACGAGCTGATAAATATAAACCGTATTTCAAATAATTTTGGTTTCATATAACATGTTCAATGGACTTTCCAATGATGAATAAAGTAGTACATGGAAACAGCTCAATTTTGACTGTTTACAAACATCTTTATAAAGAAATCCGACAAAGCTTTTCCGTAATAACACTAACTATCGCAGAACACTGGCGATCTATTTAAGGTGTGAACTGAATTGTTATGGAACATGATCTTTAGGAAAAAAACATATTTGACGAATGAATGAAAATGCAGTGATGTATAAGATTCGTCCTCTTCCTCTAAGCGTAAAATGTTACTTCACGATTGTTGGTCTGTGTCAACTCGACTCATTATAAGGAGTGAATTAGTGGGATTCATCGACCTCTTCATCTACCGTAAATCCCTTGTCAGTTTTGAACTATTTATGTCTCATTGAGTCTTAACAAAACTTCGAAAACATCGGTTGGCCTTTGACCACATAAACCATCTACAGTGTAGATGATATCTCCATCTCCCAATTAAAAGATGAGTATACTGATCACCAGCTCACTCACTCAGTTCTACTTCACAGGATTACGGTGGGATCCTCAAAAACAGAGCACATTCGAAGATAGCATTATTCCGATCATAACCTCATCAAAGCATTTCTCAACTTTATTGGAAAAACCCAGTGAAAAGTGGTGAGCGTCGACACAGGATACCAGAAAACATGCCACATCGTCTGACGAGGTTGTGAATGTTCATCAACCTAGGTGAATCAAACATCTCATATCTGTGCACAACCAACAAACCAACCAACCACTACTTACCCTAACTCGACGCATGATGTTTCCTGATCTAGAAGGAGTAGATTGGAGGAGGAGAACTAGGAATGATCAAACATAGTGGATGACTGTTGCAACGAACCATATTGATAAGTGTAGACTACCTGGTTGAGACATCACTCACTCACTCACTCACTCACTCACTCACTCACTCACTCACTCACTCACTCACTCACTCACTCACTCACTCACTCACTCACTCACTCACTCACTCACTCACTCACTCACTCACTCACTCACTCACTCACTCACTCACTCACTCACTCACTCACTCACTCACTCACTCACTCACTCACTCACTCACTCACTCACTCACTCACTCACTCACTCACTCACTCACTCACTCACTCACTCACTCACTCACTCACTCACTCACTCACTCACTCACTCACTCACTCACTCACTCACTCACTCACTCACTCACTCACTCACTCACTCACTCACTCACTCACTCACTCACTCACTCACTCACTCACTCACTCACTCACTCACTCACTCACTCACTCACTCACTCACTCACTCACTCACTCACTCACTCACTCACTCACTCACTCACTCACTCACTCACTCACTCACTCACTCACTCACTCACTCACTCACTCACTCACTCACTCACTCACTCACTCACTCACTCACTCACTCACTCACTCACTCACTCACTCACTCACTCACTCACTCACTCACTCACTCACTCACTCACTCACTCACTCACTCACTCACTCACTCACTCACTCACTCACTCACTCACTCACTCACTCACTCACTCACTCACTTACTCACTCACTCACTCACTCACTCATGGTTATTGCAATCAGTGATTAGACACGACGATTGACGTACTTTGGAATCAGTCGCAACTGTTCATCTGCATTTACTCTTTGTCTACTTCTACTCAGATTTTTTTGTGATTTGAATTATTTTACACTCATTTTCGTTCCACAAACTCCATTCTTCCTTCTCCAACCATATTTTCTACGTGTAGTTGTTTCTACTACATACAAGTGATACTGTACCTACTTTTGGAAGTCTCAAAATTATCTTGATATCTTTATCTGGTTGTTCAGAATTGATATAGCAACGTGAACCGATTCATATTTGTTTGATTCTATGTTGCTTATAACTGACTGAAATTCATTTTCTTTTAAATAGCATTATATATATATGTGTGTATTATTTATCATTTCTGACCATTATAGATTTTAGAACAATAACAGGTATACTACTACTACTAAGTCAAATTGTACACTATAATCAAACACTGAGAGAAGTTGAAATTAATTACATAGAAACAAAACATATCACATGATATGCAATTTTCTAATGAAAATGCTAACTCGATAGAATTTTGTAAACTTTATATTATCCAAAAGATCAATATTTTCTTTTAATAATAAGCATCTTAATATTGTTGCTATGATTATTTTATTTTATTTATCTATTTATTTAGATACTTCTAAGCTTTCAATTACCTTATGGAGTTAATTACTTTTTGTTTTCTAGTAGCGGTTCATTCAATAATCTAAACAGTATTACAAATTCAAAACAAAGATGAATTATATACATTAATAATATTTATTTATTAGATAATACTGTTGTATGTAAATTAAGGCCTCTTTTGATTATGATGAATATAAATTAGCAAAGAAATAAAATAATATGTCATCCTTGATATCTATGGAGGCGGATAATCACAAAAAAAAACATCAAAATTCTATATCTGGGAAATTCTACGAGTGTTAACGAATTTCTAGAAGCATATTACTCAGATTAATTAATAATCAATAAGTATATAGACATGGAATTATTCTATCACAAGACCAGAGGTCAATGAACATAGACAGTTAAGGTGAATGCACACAAGAATAGAGGTAACAGTCAGAAGTGATACCATCAGAACGAATGGATATGACGTTTGGGGAATAACTAAGAAGCTCGCTTTAACACAATGGATTCTGGAAATGTTGTCCATAATAACTAATAATAATAATAATAATGAAAGTTTCGCAATTAAACCATCTGACTTTAGGAACACAATACCAACAAAAGCATCTATTTGAGCTACAAATGCCCATTAATTCAAACTCCTGAACTATGCAGTCTAGTTTACACAACATGATATATGACTTTATATATATATATATAGATTGACGTAGAACATGCAATATCTTCATAGATTACTAAAAAAACGTAAGGAGAGGATAAATCCAACCTACTGAAATTTACTTTGAGTTATAACATTGGAATTAATGGTTTCAGTTACCTTTGACTATCTGGTGACAAAGAATATTTATAAAGATTAAGAGAGTCAATGAATGAAATTAACATCTTGTAGCTATGTTACAAGATAGTGTGTTCTTTTAATTGTCTCCCTATTTGTACTAATCGATAATTAGCGCATAAAAACAAAAACGAAATTAATAACTTTGACTAGAATTATTCAAAAAAAAATTAATTACGTAATTCAGCACAATAAAATCGAAAAGTTCTGAAACAGTAGATCCACTTTTATTTGGTGTGTACAAAATGGTTAAGTGTGATAAGAAAACAGGTATTTTGTAGGACTAATACTGACATAAAATGGAATGTTAAATTATATCAGAAAGTTTTCAATACTTAAAAATGTTAAATATTCTCTTTTACGATAAAAGAGAATAAAAGGCCTTAAATAAGAAAGATTAGTTCAGCGAAGAGTTCTCTTTTCGGCGAATTCATTTTCAAAGCTATACAATCATATATATATATATATATATATATATATATATATATATATATATACTTATTTTACAGGATGACAGTGTCTTAATGTTTTAATTGGGTGTATTCCGTTTACTAAGAAAAAACAAAGATCTAGAATTCAGAGGTCTATATTAAACTCACTGAGAATAATAACTATAGGTGCAAAGTTTACAAATCAGTAAACATTCTATTATGATATCATTATGAAGTAGAAATTAGTCAAACTATGGATATTAACACTGAGATATAGGTATATCCAGATAATAAGTCCTAAATAGAATGATACACATATATCTTTGATTCTACTATTAGCTACAATTAATTTATTAATATAGTGTACTCTATTATTGATAAATGCTTCACTAATCAATTAAGAAATTAATATTTATTGAAAAAAGACAAAACAAAAAACAGTACAAACTATGTAAATACACACTTCATTGTAAATACCAGGGTATCATCATCATCATCATCATCATCATCATCATCCAAAGGTTATTCATTATATTAATAATAATTAATAGTAACGTATATTTTCTTATCACTTAATTTAATGCTAAAGTATCTATCTATTCATAAGCTTTGACAAA